CCGCATCATGAGCAGCAGCTCTTTTTCAAGGCGCTTCACCCTTTCTACTCTTTTATTGTTTCCTTTATCTGGTAGTTCGCTACTTTTCTGAAGATGGGCATCCAGCATTTTACTCTGCGTACGTACCAGAAGCTTTTAGCCATCTACCGGTCTTAATTGTCCCTTGAGAATGTACGATCAACTTTCGGCTAGTGCTATCAAGTGAGCATGAATCCACTTCAGGGATTTCGGCTCTGTTGACAGTTCGTATACCTTCCAGGATAACTTCATGCATGCTTGATGGTATCAGAGACGACAGTGATCACACTGGATACTCTCGGCAGCATACCTAATGCATTTACCACACTGTTTTACAACTGAGAAGGTAAATAATGCCGTGTTAATTACAAATTAAAAACACCATGGGTCTATTTCACATGGGAAACATTAGAAATGGAACCCAAAATACTTGCGTGGGCCGCAAAAAGTTAAATCGTGCAAAAAGCAAAAGGATTTTTATCCTTAAACCAAACCAAAAAGACTAATTTGATCTTTTAGATGAGCACAATATTAAAAATCGCCTCGGCCATGACCAAGAAAGTGGCACTGATATAGAATACCTTAAGATATTTCACTTTGCACTTGAAGTCAGACTACAGGTAGGAACACCTTAAAAATTCAAACCACGCACGAGGCACGTACCGTTGAAAGGGGGAACCGATGTGAATTCTTATACACACAACCCAAAATCCACTCGCACTATGCTTACACGATTCGCGACAAGTTTTGTTCCATACATACCTGTCTGATCGCGCGAGATTAGATTCATATAAAAGTTATCAACTGATCTAACTAGATCACAAACGAATGACATTCTGGTGAATCGAAACGCAACGTTCAGCGAATAACACAAGCAGGAAGCGGATATCGCTTAAGTGATTTCACTGTGAACGCAACAATGATTGCACGGAGATGTTTCTTCTTAAGCATTTGCTTAATCCTACTGGCTGCTGGGCAGATCCCCATACGTATGTCAAGCGGTTGTTTTCTGATGCATAGATAGAATTGTGAATTCTCCCTAGGCCGTTTTTTCAAGTGACTGTTTTCTATTTTTTCACCTACTGTGTTCCGCAAGAAATATCGTTTCATTTCCTCATCAACTGTGTGCACAGAGTTTATTGCGCCCATGCTCAGACCCAATGTTTTACTCCCATTTCAGATGGAGTCCATTCTGAAGAACCGAACTCATCAGGTAGGCTTTACTGTGTGCATTTCGCTGCGTCAATCAGGACAGTATGACTTGATTTCATTGATGTATTCTTCTTAGATTAGGATACTCTGTTCGCTTGCACAGACTCTGAGAGATATTAGATGACATCAGTAAGCGCGGTAGCGTCACATACTTTGAGCTGTTCAAATTATATTATACTGTATTGTGTATACGTTTTGCCAGCACTGAACCTTACCCTGAATCTAGACATGTCAGAAATGACAAAGAACATAAGCAACGGAGAAAAAAATGCTTGCAGACATGGGGACAGGTCATAATCCAAGGTTGAGACAAAGTTCACTTGTTACCCCGTCTTTGATGGTGAATAAACTTGGGCGATAGAATATAGGTGAAATTCGTTTAGCGCTTATTCAAGATGAAACTTGGCGGAATCGGGGGCTTGTGGAGGGTTGGAGATGACATCACGTCAGTTCTGCGTGCAAAGAGGCCAAGATCTGTGAGAAGCCACTCCGCACATTTCACGCAGGCAGTTAGTCTGGTAAGCAATCTGTAAAGGCTCATCTGGAATGTTTAAAGATTACCGAATATGTTTGAGGAAAGCCTCTTCAGTCAAGTTAAGAGCTGAAGATTTTAACGCTATGAGCAGAAAACGTTTGCAGAGGATGCAAGATTTCGATGCTTTGGGGTTGGTATTTTTATGAACAGCCTCCAACAGTCGGAGATAGTAGATATTCATTCACAATGTAGGTGACTGCTTCAGCTGGGGGAGCAGCACCGAATTTGATGAGTGTTGAAGGTGAATCATCCGGGCTTGCAGTAAAGAACGAATTGCAACCAATAAAAGGTTTTACCACATCACGATTTGAGAATAGTTTCAAAGTACAAATGTTGTATGCCGATTAGGCGGGAATGATGCCGGACTACTGAGTCACAAATGCGCCACTGATATCATCCACACCTACATCCAGCTTCGACCATACCTTTCTCCTTCCAAAAATAATTACGATACCTTGTCATAGATATTTGCTTTTTCCAGTCCTCACAATTTGATCGGAGAAAAATAGGCTTAGTTTATTTAAGTCAGCTTTGATAAGCCTGGGCATGCACCTGGTAATTGAAGCACTGTAGGGCTCGTATGCACGTTCCTTTTTTCATTGCAGCCACTTTATTAGGGGAGAGGTCATCCTTCTGTTGGGCACATGGACTTTTAACAGGGCACCAGCCATTGGATCTGGCACTGGTTGTTTGGGTGAAAAGGGAAATACGTGAATGTATAAGAAGAAGCTAAAAACCACAGAAAAACCTGTCTGGGAGAATCATTGAGAAAAGAAACACTTGTGGGTGAGAAGTTGCGAAAACGAAATCTGATGTGGTCGGATAAAGAGAAAGATTTATATGCAAAGTGTGATTAAACTTTAGGTAGAACTAAGAGTCATCAGTGTTTGGTGAAGGAAATTGGTCATTTTAGTGCTAAAGAAAATAGGGTTGGTTGGTTGGTGATTACTCTGTTCAGTATTCAGAGGTTGATCAAACTCGTGTAACATCACTTTCAGTTTCTAAATGAACATCAGTCTCCATTATCTTACTTGTATACTGATGGCTGCGAGTAAAGTGTAGTTATTCCTTCTTTTATCTTGCGTTGGATTGATAGAGATCTGTCGTAACTAATGATAGAAGATGATAAGTACTAGTAGGGACAATAAAGGGTATAAGCGAGTCGAAGAATGACACGATTTGATTGTGTACCGTCAGGTGCTATATAGAAGTCATTGCACGGTTGGGCACTCCATATCTTTGAAGCACTACTGACAACTAACATTGGACTTGCTTCAACAGGACGTATGGCACAACACCCTCCTCTAGTCTTCCTTCCTCCGGTTCCACGATCCTGTCGGTTAACTTGGAAATCGCCTATCGACACTGGTGTCATCCATGTCTTTATTCAGCCAGGATTCATGTGCACAGGCTGAACAAGTGTTCACTTAAATTCTCGATCGGAGGACACCAGTTGAATGCGACAGCTTTAGAAACAAGTACCGAGTGTTTGTGCCGACCAATGGGGAGACAAGCAAGTTGACCAAAGGGGTGCACTTAGAGGCAACACCACCCTGCATTCTTGCGGTTTTGGTTCAACCTGGACAGTGAGAAACTGGAGTCGCAAAAGCCGATGAACCATAAAAAGATATCCTGGCACGTTTGAGACAAATAATATCATCTCATGAGTAACGACGACGCATGATATGAAGTGAACATGTGAAAATCACAAAAATGGGACGGGAGCGTGTAGCGCAGTGTGGAGCAACCAATAAAAGGGTGCAGGACATAAACACAGTTCACTATGGTTCAGAATGAATCTCCAGGAAATAAGAGTTCACATTCGTAGCAGGTGAAACAATAAACAATATTTTTTTGAGTAATCGGCTGAACGCTGTACACTTGAGTTAACTTTGCCGCAAACATGTTTGATTGCTATCAGTTTATATTATAGCTAAGTCTGTTCCTCGTGAAGAATGCAACATCTACACGGTCTGAGTAACATTGGGATGGTGAGCATTCTTTTTGGATGGTCGATACCTCAAGCTACTTGACTATGATTTATACGCCAATTAAGCGAGAGGAAATATTTTATACTCGTCTGATTACGAGTGTTTAGTTTAAAATTGTCTATATTCAAATCGCCTGGAATACAACTGTGGCGACGTTTCTAATCTAGTCCTTCATGTACATTTCTATAAAACATCCGAAGTTAAATTTCAGACAAAATCTTCATGGGAGTATAACCTAAAAACGGTTTTGCAACTCCAATTCCTAATGAGTAATCAAAGTTTATTGTTTGGGAAATAATTAAGATAATGTATTGTAACATATTATATCGTATTAAACAAGAAACTGGTATTCGTTTGAAACACTCGTAGCATCCATCATCCAGCCGCCGAAGTTCTCAGAGATGAAACCAATTTACAATATTTTCCGGTCATCCTTATTCTCAACTGCTCGAGTGTGTAATGTTTTTTTGTAGATCCACAAGTAGCATCTCGCATACAACCATAAAAATAACTTTGACGAACGGGATGATTATCAAGATGAAGAAATATAGAGGCTGAAAGTTTCACATAGTAATTAAAAACGTCACTCAGAGCAAATGTTTAGGAACTACCTAAATTTATTCCAGTACTTCAAGTTGGCTCACATTGGACCTGACAGAGAAGGAGGTAAACAATCATATCTGACCAATATTTTAACTGGAGTAAAACTAAGTTGTGGTGCTAAACAAGCACATCAATTGATGAATATACACAGGCGATTTACGCGACCCGTACATCTCAGAAACAATGTAAATCAAGGTTGGTAAGCTCTTGATTCCAATGAATTTTATCTGTGGTCATCAGCACAATCGCCACGTTCCTTTGAAGCTCCTTTCTCTGGTTTGTTCAATTTACGAAACACGCATCTGAGGACGTAATACTCGCGGTTGCTAGGTGACTTCTGGCCATTTGATAAACATTCTTGATCAGCAGGTTTAGAATCACCAGAGAAGCACAACCCAGTCGGTCATGGTTAAATATGATGGATATTTGTGATCATTTAAGTGTGCGGACTAATAAAATGAGATTGAAAGAAAAGGTGATCCAAAACCACATTTCCGTAAAACTCTCATGAACTTCATTGAGTCCTTTCTGTGCCAATGANTTCGGTTACTAGAGTGTTTGCTCTCTCTAAAAAACTAGTAACGGATAAGATAACACGTGACTGAATGCGACTTTATTAACTGATTACTCCATCGCGCATTATGCGAAGTCAGGAAGCATCATTGTGTGGAGAGGTAAGTACACTTGGATCAATGTAGAGAGCGCGGGGTACATGACGGATCTCGATACCAACTGATTAAAACTCTGTCAGTATCTGATCCCGTATGTGGTGGTGCTCACTAAACATTTTAGTTTCAAACGTATTTTTCCGACAACTTCGTGCAAACGTCTGAAAAATATAGATATGCAAATCGGCGTGTCGGGATTCCATAATCCATACTGTTTTGCTTCATTCTAAGTGACTAAACTACCGGCATCGACAATAAACCAAATGCCATTTACCAAAGGGTGTCTGTGCTTGGTGTAATTGAAAGGTTCTCCATGTGCTCCGTTTTGGGAATCGCGGATTGAGGACTTAGAAGGGAATGGCCCAAGGACCTCTTTTCTCTACCTGGCACCTCTAGGAGGCTGATAACATGTGGTTCTGGTACACCGCGAAAACTCTGAATGCCAGTATTTTACACGGTTTGTTGATGCACGACAGTTTTGCATCCGTAACGCCAAGCTCTCTTTCTCATTGGTGAGTATTGGCCATTCCGCAAACATTCACGTCCACATCACGAAAAGTGTAATTGTTTCGATTTGGTATGTTCTGGTTGGCTGCATTCAACAGAGCTTTCGGTTACGGATAGAGACATCCAGTTGTGCAAGCAAGCACAAATGTAATGGAATACGTGCAAAAACTTTTACATGGGAGAAAATATCCAAAATATTGAAAGGCTGTCGACAAAGACCACGATAGTAGGAACCTAATGTTAGTGGACAACACATTTAAATCTGTTATTAAACATAGGGATTCAGTCAAGCTTTTATAACCCTTTTATAATACTGCAGAATCTATCATCGACCATTCACTGGATAATTTGTTTATAGTAAACATGAACAGACATTCAGTACAGTCAATCTCCTGCTATGTCGCACCCCTCGGGAATTCGAAAGAGTGGGTAAATTTCAGTAACTGCGACGTAGCAGGTTAAACAGTAGTAGGTGCTAATAAGTAGTATAAACATCGTTTGACAGTTTTGTGACAAAATAAACCTGATCTATGAAAATTAGGTTAGTCCCGTTAGTTGTTCCCAATAGTTACGATTATAAACTGTTTATTTATAACGGAATTTAAATCTACCGTTCCGCGTATCCTGTATGCATGGCATTTAGATTTAAATATTTTATGACACCCTCAGCCTATTATCGGTACATTGCATATGGTTTACGGCCCTTTTCAGTTCTGTGTCTAGTTATCCCGAATCTACCTACTTTTCTTCAGGGGAACTTTTTCTGAACCAATTATCCCATATTAATTCCGCGAATTCCCCCATTCCGTTGCAACGTTAGGCTAACCACAGAATTGATTATATGACTTCCNGACATATATAACTGTTTCAGCTATAATAATCACATAACTTTTAACCCATTCATTGAAAATAAAGGTGAACCAGTTCGAATATGTAGAGAAGGAAATGACATCTAAAATGAGTGAAATATCCGTTACGGGGTACATTCAGAAAATTGACCTCCTTCACATATTCAAACTGATTGTTCTTTGTGAAATCTATTAATTATTTTCTATTGATAAATGTGTATCATTAACGTCTATAGACATCTAATCGTTCGTTCACTTCTGTTATTACCAGTGTATGTTCAAAATGGTTGCTACATTCCTCATGACAATAGTTGGTCGAACTAAATTCGACTACATTAATATAAGTTAGATTTGAGAAACCATAATTTTCATTTGCGAAACGGTCATTTTAAATTGAGAAAAAATAACGTGGAGTTGAGAAAGAATCGCTGTGGTTGGATCCGCTTCCTTTCAGCACGCCTCATGTATTTTTAGCAAAATCATAAATCGTCGTTTGTCTCAGCTTAGCTCTCCGTTGTAAATCAACAAACGCGCTGTTTAAATCAATTGTACACTCAAAGAATCGACCGAAACTCTGAGCATTAGCCAGGGCAAAGAGCTTCAATTGATCAAATAACTTCAGTGCCCCTCTGATTGATATAACTTCCAGGGCATTCACCGCCTCGCATTCATCTTCTTCTTTGCGATGCTTAGCTTGATGCGAAACGAATTCATCTAATGACTAAAAAGAGACTTGATACAAAAATTTTAAATAACTCACCTCTTCATTATCAAGTTAGAAACAGACGATTTCTTCTTCAAAATGACGTTCATCAATAGACAAGTCCGAAGCTTGCTTGACCAGATGCATGGCCATGATACGTTCATGATGCGTTGCTCATCTTCGATCAAAGACAAAGCATATTCAAGTAAATGTTTCCGAAACGAACGTTTGGAAGACCAAATCACACCCCGACCCATTGGTTGTAACATCGAAGAACAGTTCGGAGGCAACCGTACTAATTTGACGTTGGAGACTGCTGCGGCTTGGTTATGGCGTGGGTTGTTGTCCATAAATAGTAAAATAGATCGTGTTTCACAAACCATTTTGCGGTTGACATCGAACAGCCAACTGTGAAATAACGTAGAAGTCATCCATGCGTTATTTGAAGAATTATGGCTGCATGGAAGGCTTTTTCTATCTACACCTCGGAGGCATCCTGGAGTATGAAACTTTCCGATCACCAAGGGTGATAACTTTTCGCCAATCACGCTCCCACAAAGCAGTAACCTGACTCTTTCTTTGGATTTCTTGGACCCAGAAACTGTCTTTCCTTTCAGACTTAATGCTTTTTCTGGGAGCTGCTTGTAATACAAAGCTATTTCATCTACATTGAAAACATCACAGTCAGCATATCCTTGTATCACCTGCGGTAATCCCGCTCGAAACTCATCCACTGCATCACGTGGTACCACTAAGCTTTCCCCACAGATCTATAAAGTAATGAGTTGCTTGTTTCTTACTTTGTACAACTGAATACCATATCTGCCTCACCAAGAGCGAAACCAACCTTTGGAAGCCTTGAAGTGAATATGATGCGATCTTTGTGTTAGCTGGATCGCTTTCTTACGTACGATGCTCTCCACCATTGGGAACTCTCCGTGCTTTCCCCTCATAGCGGTAAACTAAGTCAAAGTTGCCTCATTAACTGCCTTGAACTTTTCGTTGGTTTTCAGATGGCATCTTCCCTCAGATGCACCAGTGTTCCAAAATTCCCCGATAGTCGTTCGATGGGATACAACATTGTAGACAGTTTTTCGTGAAATTCCAAGTGACTTGGCTACGGAGCTCCAGTTGCACCTGGCTGTTTCAGCATTTCCAACACATTCTGCTTCTCTCTGATCGATAGACGCTTGCACATTATGGCGTCAAATGACGCTGTCTCCGATCACTTGCATCGGTGTGACTTCCTCGCAAGGATTATCCAATCAGTGAACAGTGCTATGAACGGGCCACACCAGGTGCACCGCCATTGGTTGAATGAGACAATTCAGAGTGGATGGTCAATGGTCGTCCCGAACATCGGTCAACGACCATGTGAGTACGTATCAGGCACTGCGACATACTGAGGGTTGCGACATTGCATAGTCAGAAACTACGTTATTAGACATACGATTGGTTTGGGTTTTCGAAAAAGTGGGAAGATATTGGAAAATGCGACTTCTCAGGGGTGCGACATAGCAGGAGATTGACTGTACATTGTAAATGTGCAGTGCGGCACGGCTGATAGTCCGACATTGGAATAACAGTATCATCGTCTGATTATTTGTCAGTAGTTAGCTTTATTTCTCAACTGTATCGAAAGTTAAAGTACTTCAGTAATTTTGTTATTCAGTCTAGGAAATGATCGAAGGTTTTATCAACATTTGCTTGATTCCTCTGGTTATTAAATTTGTCAGGCAATTTGGGATGAGAAAGCATGAGGATGGCCTTACTGAATACCACATCATTTGTTTATTTGAGGAATGGCATCGGATACTGTTGTTCCAAAGTCGAACTATCATCACGCAATGGACAGAGTGGGTTGGCATCAGTTCAATTGTTAGCAATCAGTATCTTAGTGAAATTTCGTATTACCACAGTGTGATTCACATGAAGAGAAAATATACCCAGAGAACCATGATCTTAATTTTTGTAGTGATTTTTGATTTTATACTATTACTTGCTGCTGACATTTGAAACTGTCTGTCTGGGTATGCTCCAACACTACCTTAAGAGTTGATTGGACATTTGCAAAATGTGGATTTATTTTTAAGGATTACACTGCAATTATTGCGAAGTTACAAGAGAGAATCGGCTGATGTGATTGAGGGGCAGTCGATACTATTTACCATTAAGATGTATGGAATCGCGTACATGAGCACAGGACAAGAAAACATGCATAATACCTTTTGGGTGTAAGTGGAAAAAAACAAATACTTGTGAATGATATTCCCGCGTGAAGGCCGAAAAACAGCAGCGGTTGGCTGCGCTGTCGTTGTTGGGACTCCTTGACGGCTTGCTTAAATCACGGATACATGCTTTGACTCCAAAATCGAAGGTAATTGATCAAAGTAACGAGGAACTAATGATCAAAATGGATCCGGCAATCAGATCCAAAAACAGGAGACTGCTGTTGGACTCGCACTTACCAAAAAACGATAACCACCCAAAATCACTGTATTGGGGGGTCGACGTTCTGACTAAAGCGGGATACTTTTATTGACCGCTTGTTAGCGACGAATTAAAACGATATGGGCCCTTCTTATCAGACAATGTCGCAGGTGTTTAGCCCCAACCAAACGTTCTTCTCATAGCTAACATTCACAATCATGCAAAGCATGTGAAAACTGGCTGATAAAACCGCAGGGCTAAACATATCCTCCAGCATCGGAAAGGAGTGGACGGGAATGCAAAACAAAGTGCGTTTTATTGGAATGTCTCAAAAAGGCATCTACTTGTTCATTAATTGGGAAACACATGGTTTGATTGTCTGTTTTAGGTTGAGTAATGCAAGTGAAACATTGGCTGTTTCATATTACTAAATGGTTTGCTATGCTGTATAAAATAAGCTGCATGATAGTGAACTCCGCTCTGTAAAAATGTACTTAATGTTATTATGTCTATATCTATATCTATATGCATATGTATACATATAAATGTTTGACAGCACTTCACTATGTGGTCTTGAAAAGCAGCTAGCAGAGTCATTAGCTTGCAAGTGTCCGTAGAATAGTAGTACAATCTTATCGGAACATTGAGAAAATGAGTCAGTGAGCGAATCATGGTTTCGGCTGTCCCCAAATGCGCTCATGCATGTCACACAGTGGGAAGATGTTTACCCAATGTCAGCTATTGTCTCGATTCCGTAGTTTCACTCTCCAACGTTTTTGATGGCTCCATTATTTCGGTGCGTCCCGACAACATTTTATCATGTTAAATTATCTCACAAAGTTCACGCTCATGATCGTCTGTATTCACGGAAACCACTTTGAGCACGCACGTGAGAATCATTTTACCGACCTGTAAAGGTTTATCAACCCATGGGCATTGGTTTTTCGACTATTCGCCCTGATTAGAAGCTAGTTTGTACACGTTTTTTCCGCAACTGAGCTAACGTCTTCCATTCTTATAACGATGAAACGCTAGCCAAATTACTGACCTGAAAAAAGAAAATCAGTTCTGCTTATCGTTGATATAAGAACCGTATTCAAATTGTTGTTTCAAGTTTTGATTATCTTCAAGGAAATGAAACCGCAACCAGGTGTCTCCAAAAATTGATATTTTAGATACCGAGGATAACCCGCACATCGGCGATCCGATTACGGAGAATCCTAAGCACAAAAACGACAGTCAGGAAGACGAAGAGGATAACGACGCTCCAGAATCCGAAGAAAATCTGAGTAACAAAGAGGAAGATTTTAATGATGAGACGAATGAGGAAGCTGCTGCTGATGAGCTCGAAGGTGAGAAACATTCAATCAAGCAATGTCTCTTCCCTAATTCTCAGAACTTCTTTGTGCTTACTGAAGATATTCAGTTTCGTCAAACATTTATCATTCGCAAGCAACCATTGGTTTTCGTTAAATATATTGACCGGTATTTTAGGTAATCCTTGAAACTGTTGTGTATTCGGATGATTAGCAGCGATACATTGTTTAGCGCACAGGATTAAAGGGACAGCTTGTGTACAACACTGGTTCCTTTAGCGTATTACAAAAGCAACACGTAGTGGATGTAGAATCCACGATTCTCAATATATGAGGCCCAGGTAAGATAACAATACTTTAACCCAACCGTCTGTTCAAAACATGATATCATTGATTGGAGTTTTTGAACAAGAGATGAGCAAGCTATGGCCGTCTCACGAAACCCTAATGTACAAAGTCCATTTTTGATGCCAAAATTGGGTAATACAACATAAACTTCTTTCCTCGAAATTCGATAGCTCCAAACATGATGAACGAGAGACAAACTGGCCAATAAAGACATCGTACCAAGCACATAATCCTGCATTTGGGCAGGTCTGAGAGGGGAATCGTCGAAGCTGCAAAATCGAAAAGCGGTTTACTATTGTTTGTCCAAAATACAGCTAATGTGAAGTATGCATATATGCGTGAGGGTGGCCCCGGTACCGCATCATCGCGATCTAGGTGGCCACATATTTTGGAAGCTATTCATTGAGAACAACGGGCAACATGCTAAAATATCCGGTAGTTTGCAAGTGTGGTTTATTCAGCGAAGCAAGCTTTTGTACTTCGCAATCTGATGCATCAAACATTGACGTCATCATTGAGCAAAATATCAGACTTGACCCATTTTTCGCTTTTTCCCCTTTGCCCCGTGTACACAGGAGTACTTCAAGCGTCCGGTGAGTTTCTCGGTGCAATGTATAGCTATCGAAGTAATATAACCACTGGTAATTGAAGAGGAGGTTTGTGGGAAAACACTGCTTTATTACCTTCTCCATCCAAAAAAATCCACTAATCAACATCACAACAAATCATTGTTGATGAAAAGCATAATTTCATACAGACAATTATGAGAGGGGTAGTGCCTTAACTGTTTGGATTGTGCAAGGAGAAGAATGAGCGCTTTCTAAGTTCCCTCTCTAACTCCCACCCAGAGTTTCGTGTTTCATAAAATGTAACTGTGCATTGACGAGATACACGTCCAACTTCATGCATTGAAACGTTCTACTCGAACCTGCTTTCATTTTTGAAAAGCGACACGAAGCTAGGTCGCTTTTAATTTGCTAAATAGCGGTTTCAATTACTAGGAAAAACACCAAGATTAGCACGCTGAAAACCTCTACTCGATTATGAAAATGAACTATTAATAAATAGAAGCATTTACAAACGTGTTATCATTTGTTTCATTTTTTCAGCTTTTGAAATTCGCATGAACATTTCATCGGGTTGGCTGGGAAACGCAACCGCCGAAACAGATGTCTATTCCATGTTGAACCCGTGGTGTGGTCAGGTAAATGTTCGGTGATCATGCTCAGTTTTGACGATCAACATAATGCATGCAATAGTTTGGCTGGTTCCTGAACCCTTGTACCTGGTAGAATCTCCTTTGGGATTGTTTGGAAATCCCACGAAGCAACACACCCTCCAGCCGTTTGATTATTCATTTGCGTTGACCATATGTTATCAACGTATGCTAATGAGTAGTTAAGAGCTGCTCTGTAGCTACAGTAATGCCTGCATTATTCCGCCTTTCCTGGATATTATTGTACATAATGTCCATATTGAACATGTTATGAATACCAGTGTGTCACAAATGCATTTTTGACCCCAGGTATGTCTCAAACGTCATATGAAATCTTTATTCCCAGTGATCTGCAGGCAAAGTTTGTTATGACACAAACGAAACTATCGACGTAGAGCACTCTACTATGTAACAGCCGTTTGAAAGTTCGTTAATTTGGGTATCAGTAGCTGAGAGAACCTTAGTTATTTGACTATGATCGTCTCTTTTGCTCTCTGACCACGACATCAGTTGTTCATTGCAACAAAAGCGGTTTCCCCAACACTGGACAACCACATACTTGGATGCACGAGTCAGCAGACGGATGAAGGAATCACCGAGTTCAAGGTCTACATCAAAGCAAAATCAATTGCGCTCAACGTGTCTGACCAGATGCAGTGCCGGACGAAAGCATTGCAATCATTACTGGAGAATTGGAAATCGAAGCTGGCAAAATCCTTCAAACTGCACTCAAATCTCATCCAGATACGAGGTAATTGTTGTTTACGTTCCGTGCACAAATTTTGTTTATGCGTGGGTAAGTGAGCTAGAGGCCTACTTGTGCATTACATAGTCTGTCCAGTGAAATACCAAGGGATCGACCAAAATTATTTAGTGATCTTTGTAATGGAGTAGATGAACCATTCGCCGTAACAATCACCATGAACCATGCAATGTGGATACCCTCGTCACGTGAAGTTTGTCTTGCTGAAGCACAACATTGCGAGTTCATCACGGCTAAGCATTGAGTTGAAATCTATTCTGTGAATAAAAACGTGCTTACTGTAGATAATCCTATCAGTCTAACTCCGTTCTTTTTCGTTTCACAGAAATCGCTGGGCTAGTCAATGTACAAGGTAAGATTTTCTTGTCCCTTTAGCTTATATATGACTTCCTCACTTTCTACCAAAGTAGTGCATGGGTGAATACTGTCTTTCCGATTGGGCAAGTTCAAGCTCGCCGGTTCGTGGTCATAGAGTGCAGTTAGCTTTGAATAGCAATAATGTTTCTCAATGAAAACTTCATTTATACATAATAAATACTTTCAAAATTATAAAAGCGTATATCAAGGCATCTTTGAGCTGGTTATATATCAGTTGTTTCCTTATTCCAAAGGAATTGACTCAGTCGAAAGCAACTGAGATTTGAATAACTGAGACGCATCGTCCGATATCCAATGTTCGACTCAAAGAAATTCCCCATCCACGAGAAAATACTGTACGTAATTCCATGTCCCACTCAGATCACTGATCCCCGAAGCGTCCTACGCATCATGTCATATTTGGACCCTAAAACGCCCTTTTTATGACCAAAATATTTATTTTATCACACACACTAGAAAGGTGAGAGGAACTTGTATTCCAAAATGAACCATTCCACCATTCCAGACTATTATCAAGGGAGCTTTTGATTGTGCCCTGAAAAGACCTCACCCTAGATTTCAATGAAGAATGTTCCGTTGGGTGTTGAGATGTCACCGTTCTCGACCGATTTTTAAACTGAACAGTTATTGTGAAACTCCTTCAGTTTTGTAAATATCACTGACATTTGTTTCACCAATAATCGACGATCCTCGGCTCTGTATTTTGGTCATCTCAGTTGGCGGCAACTTGCGTTGATAGATTACAATTGCTTCTTCGTGAATCAGCAATTCTCTTCATTACCATTGTGTGTAGCCGAGACAGCTTAGGAGGAGGATGTGGACGTCTATTTCACGGCAAAACAGTAGCTTGGGTTCTGCAACGTGTGTCTCCTCATTTCAAGTTCATTCAAAACCATATGTTTGTGTTTTTCCACCACACTTGCGATCACAGCGCGGGAGTTTGAAGGACATTTATTCGAAAATAACAAAAAGCAGTGGTCGTGGCATAACCAGTGGACGAATGCTCAAAAAATATCAATTAGACAATTTGTGAGTCAATCTACTGTGTCAAACGAAAACGATTGCTTGCATTTATCTGCTCCTTCTGATTGAAGTCCCCGTGAATTCACAAATGTTTGATCGGTTTTTATTTACAAATGCCATTCACTCACATCCTTTGACTTCATACATTTCTCCATTTCTCTCGGTCTAGATACTGAACTACTTGGCTGAATCCGGTTTAAGTTCACACTTGATCAACATACTCGCGTACCCGAAACTGGGCTCGCTCTATATTTACATGGATGTTCACCTGATATACTACATGAGCGAGGATGAGTTTAAACTATTGCCAAAAACAGAAGAGATAGTCGGTCAGTTGGAGGAGTTTGCGAGCAAATACGAGGGATTAGTGAAGCTGGCGGATTTTGGATCTAAAGGTGAGTGAATCGTACTTGTGTTCTTTAACGCGAGATTCAACACTTGAAGTCAACTCGAAGTCAACTTATTTACGGAGCCTTTTATCTACTTCCCGACCGTGCCCCATTCAATGCAGCTTCACAAGAAGAATATCATGTTAGGGCTTATACATTCATGATTGACAAGGTTATTCTGGGGCCGAGCGTTACAATACCGCGGAATGTGTACGGATGAATTTTGGATGGAGATTTGCAGGTGGTTACGTAGGAATTTTCGGGAGAGTAGTTCGGCTCGATCGGTTCAGAGAAAAGTTAAAACCTTTCGCAGATGGGTATGAAAACTATTGCGTTGAACGATTTATCAAACATGAGAAAAAGACATGAATTATCACAAGTGAGAGTAAATGGATGAACGAGGCGCTGGCGGCCGATCAATTTCCACTAGTATTATAACGACAGCAATTTTGTGAAAAGGACGCATTGCACGTAAAAGTTTAGCATCAAACGGCTGGAGCATCCTCGGATTTAAGGTCTGACAGTGGCATGGACGACCTTAAGATGCCGAAGCAGTCTCACTTATCCATTGCCCTTGCTTTTGAGGGCAGTTTCGATAAACTCCGTCTTTCTAAATGCTGGCATATGGTCACTCCTTCCAACGAACCGTGAACTGCAATTACATTCAACAAGATAAATGCAGCTCCGGGTATGGTTGAATCTGTCGTTACTTTATGGTTATCGAAAATACGGTTATCATTAGTGGTAGTAATAGAACCGATACAACAAGTGTGCTGAATGATCGTGTTAGTAGAAATATTGTTCACAAAACCAGAAACTGAGAAGAGTTATCCGTTTTACCAGCGAAATCGTTATTCAGTTTAGTGGACTAAACACATTTAGTTATTTCTCACTTTTGCTTGCGTTCAGACACCGTGCAACGGTTCGTCCGATTCCGGAAAATGTGTATTAACCATTGATTATTTAAATAAAATCATTCCCAATTTTTTCCAATAATATTTCTTTTTACTCACGACACGTTCCCCATTCCAGACGCGTTGCCTCCAGGTGAGCTTTCAAATCTTGATTGTTGATGAGTTCATCTGGTGATCCAACTGCATTATACATTTGGTGACGCTATGAGAAACTCGGTGACAGTAGTCTATTTTGTTAAAAGATTAGAGATATGCACCTCAGTGAAGTCAACCAAATCGGGTGCACAAATTTTCTGATTGCCTAAATTATAGATTGGAATAGAGGCCAATTAAAGATCGGAATATTTCCATAATGGTTTGGATAGAAAAATAAACGCCGGCATATTATACATTTGAAGTCTTTAAGGCGTTGCTATCATATATTCTGCAGGCAGAACATTGCAGCCAATTTTGATCGATAATAATGGAAACGTACTGAAAGCATGCTTTTACCCATGATTAATTTTCTTTTGCTGTTTTACAGACGAAGACGAGACCCTCTTCCCCGATTGCGTGACCCAACCTAACGAAGATGAAGGTTAGCTTTTCCCCATCACACAAGTGATGATCTGAGAGGGGACTGGGTTCAATAAAAGAATATTTTCAGTGAAGTCATTTGCTGATCACAGGATACGGGTATCCTTCTCGTACATGACAATTTCTCACAACTTGATACCAGTAAAACAATCTGGAAAGTTTGATATGTTGGTACACGTGTTCGGTGTCACATCTGATTGTGAAAGTAAATGAAACTGTGTAGCTACTCATAAATGGATTCCTAAAATGTTCGAAGAAGTTTTCTCGGTAGTGAACTATACACCAGTCTATTTGTATACCAAAACACTGTGATCCAATTACAGCTCAGTTTGAAGAAAGGAAAGTTCGGAGTTGTGATTGTCTCATTTCGTTATCCAGTTACCTTTACTATCAGTTCATTCATATGCAGTTCAACAGAGCGCAAGATTATTGCAGAGCGATGAATGGAATGTTCAGAGATCAAACAAGATTAGTGGGTTGAACGGGGCGAAGGTAACAACAGTCAGTTGCAGACAATCAACAGAACTGGATGCATGACAATTTTTTTTGTCGTATTGTCACATTTGTTACTATTGTAAGCACTCACGCGGGGCTTTCAGTCACACTACTCCGAGGATTGAAGTTAGTCATTCAATATCGGGGAAAAACTGAAACTGGTCGCTGGGCAACACAATCTGAAAGTAAATAACCCCCGACAAAAAATAACTCAGCGTCGTACATGATGTACAAATTTTACTGTTCTCTGTGTACGTAACGACAGTTAATGAATGAAATTTCATCAAAACAATCATTTGTCTGAACGACGATCAAATAGAAACGGAATAGTTTTGTCATCAAACAAATTGTTATGAAAACGCGTTTGACTGCAAACGTTAGAAATCCATTGTCACTTCGTGAGTATCCATTGTTTTCCTAAGTGCCTGCTATTCACTAATCCAGAAAATTGGTTCTAGTGATGCATGGGAACCGCGAAGAAGTTTGTTTTGGATATATTACTTTTCATTTACATCTAGCAACAGGTTATTTATTGGATTATTGAATGATTTGTTTTTTCTTTGCAAAAGATTTGGTTGGAAACAAGCCCTGATATCACAAGAAATGAGTCAATCAAGGTAGAATGAATGAACTGGAAGTAAAAAAGTGAAGCAAATTTCAAATAGGAATCCGTCGTGTCTATAGCAGATGAAGCATGAGCTGAAAAGCTAGGATAGCACTGAACATCAGCAGTGTGAACCCATCGACCCAACTGGGGATCGAACCCGGGACTCCATGGGCAGAACGCAAGCATGCTCCCCACTACGTCACCGAGCAGCTGATCAGGTCGTTTTTTATTTCCAATTTACACAATATAGCACAACCCATCTTTGCGAGCTTGTTGCGGACCACAGGCCCTGCTCATCTCAGCACTAGCCTTCAGGGTTATGACTTCGTTGGAAACATTCACAACCTGATTACTTATTTCATGTGCTATATCGTGAAAATGGAAAATAAAAA